GGCCGAGTTTGCGAACCCGGCTCGGTTCACGTGCCCCGACTCATGGAAATCGAGTCTTACGCCACAGTCCACACTATGGTCTCCACTGTCCGTGGCCAAAAGCTGCCCGACATTGGTGGGGTCGATTGTGTCCGGGCAGCTTTTCCGGGCGGGTCAATGACGGGTGCACCTAAACTGAGGTCAATGGAGATTCTCGATTCCTTGGAGAGTGAATCTCGGGGAATCTACTCCGGGTGTATCGGGTATTTCTCTTACAACCAAACATTTGATCTCAACATTGTGATAAGGACCATTGTTGTGCATGATGGCGATGTCTCGATTGGTGCTGGTGGGGCCATCACGGCCCTTTCGAACGCTAAAGACGAGTACGAGGAGATGGTGCTGAAAACGAGGGCGCCGAGCGAGGTTGTTTCGGAATATTTGGAGCGGGAAAATGAAAAAGAGAAGGTTAGGAATTTGAAATGAGTTTTTTAGGACAATTATAAGCAGATGATGAAGAGAGAAATAGGACAGTGATAAACTGCATTCAAGTTGATCAGCTACCTGGGAAGAACATTTTTTATTTATTTATTTTTTTTTAATTTAATCACCATTACGTTAAAGCTGCTGTTTTTTCTTCTTCTTATATTATTGTTGTTCTTTACCTTTTATTTATTTATTTTTATTTTTTTGAATAATAGTCCTAAAAAATGATTCTTGAATTACATACACGTACAGTTTTGAGTTCTGAGTTCTTGAATTATAGTGTAATTTTGACAGTTTTGACAGTAGTAATTTACTAGATAAAGTACTAAGTGGACATTTTCGGGCCCACCAAGCCTTGTTACATGGTAAAGCATCAGAGAAATTGACACGGAAAAAAAAAATGTTGGTATGGCTTATATATTGACAAAGGAAAAGGGACATACTGATGTCTGCGAGCGTAGCGAGAGATGCGGAGCGACCATCGGAGTTGAGAAATGGTAAAGAGAAAGTGTGATGGGTCAATTGAAAAATACGCAGTTGTATTGTCAATATAGACAAAGTGTGATGGGTCAATTGAAATATGCAATTGTGTGTAGTCAAGATGATAAGTTCAATTGAACGTGTGCTTGCAATTGTGTGTAGTCAAGATGATAAGTTCAATTGAACGTCAGAACGTGTGCTTCAGTTCTATCCGTTATAAAAGTAGTTGTGGATTCTGATAATTAATATTCTATAATTGATTAATATCATTTGATTCGGTTTTGCTATGAAGATAATAGTGAGCTCTATGGTGGAACTAATTTTTTATATACAAGAAGTAAACCATATCATATTCTCTGATTTAATTTCAATTGACAACTTTATAAATATATTATGATTCGGGCGCGCTATCTCTAAAAGAGCACTACATCGCGCTATTGCTTTCTGTTTAAATAGCGAAAGTTTTGAATAATATTATTTTTGTGCAAGTTTTAAAGTAAGATTATTGAAAATTGTTTTATATTTTGATGTAGAAATGAATGCAAACGGTTGGAAATTAAATTATAACTAGTACAATACTCGTTTACTATACGACTGTTGAGTTAAGAAATATATGATAAAAGTTAGTGCAAATTTTAAAGTAAGATTATTGGAAATTGTTTTATATTTTCATGCAGAAATGGATGAAAATTGTTGGAAATTAAATTATAACAAGTACAGTACCCGTTTACTATACGAGTGCTGAGTTAAGAAATATATGATCACTACAAAAAAAACCCTTACATTCCAACGGAAATTTTCCGTTGGAATTTTTTATATTTCCGTTGGAATAGCTATTTGATGTAGGGGAAAGCGTAAACGAACAAGAAGATATAAGGAGATACTCTCTCCAGAACACAGGATACTCTCCCAAAAGAAAAACACGATCAATTATTTTCATTCATAAAAAATTCATCCCCCATAACAAATCACAACTGCCCTTTAAATAAAGTTCTAACCCTAAACTTAGCTTATTCCCTAAGCTAACTATTATTTAATAAATATACTAATAATAATAATAATAATAATAATAATAATAATAATAATAGTAATCCTAATTTTAATCATACATAATCTCCATCATTCTCTCCCGGTGGAGCAAGATTCGGCCTCGAATCCGACCCGTTCCCGTAGGAGAAGTGTGACCCGTTTCGTCCTCGATCGAACACGAAGCTTGAAGAACGCCCAACAACACCGAACGTAAACAGAATCTCGGTCAAGGACATAACTGCTGTGAAGACACATGTACTCGTCACCATGCGCAAATCCCGCAAAATTGAATGAACACTAAATACACCACTTTGTTTGCCGCGCTCAAATCCATAACGGTCAAGCATCCCGTTGTCGGGAGACTTCGCGAAAACCAATCGAAAAATGGTCCACCAATTATCGGGCATCGGCTTCGGCTCCGAAAAACCATCTTTGGCCAAAATTCCCAAAAAATCGGGTGTGAATGACGGCTTCCCATTCGAAGACGTAATCGTTGCAACATCCCATGCGGGACCCATATGACTGCAAAAATATGTCTTCGCCACCGGAGGCTCCTCATCAAAAATGGGCGGACCGTCGTAAATTGGCTCGTCAACGTAATCCTCGTCGAAGTACAAAATGTCAGCTCGAAACAGGCCCACCCCTTGACCAAATTCGCTGCCAAAATCACTCCGTACAAGCCCAATTTCCGCAGTTACTTCACAGGCCCAAGAATATGAAAAAATTCCATTCATCCCCTACTCCCAATAAATTGAATTGGGTCGTCCGTGCTTAGGCCCAAAATTGTGAAAAAGTGCCCAATCTCTTACGCGTCTCTGTTCAGCGACTTTTCTCTGCACAGTAATATGTCTCTGCACATCGCAAAAATCGCGAGACAAGCCCTCTTTCCGATCGTGTCGCTGCACTTCTGCTAATCCGACGCGGTTCGCTCGCCGGTCGTGCCCAGGACCATCGAGACCTCCCTCAGCTGCGCTTCGCCCGTCAAATTCCCAATTTTCTGTACGACCTCCGTCTGGTCTCCGCTGTGCGCGTGGTCGAAAATCGCCTAGGGTTTGGTCATCCGGCCAGGCAACTCGACCACGGTAGTCACCGGCGTCCTCCGCGATGCACCGTTCATCTCGATCCCAGCCCGCCTCAGCTTGTCGGAAATTTCTCCCCTTGTCAGCGCGAAAATGCGACCCGTCAAAATTAGGTACCTCCATTCGCCGTCGGTATGCGCCGCCGTCGCCGGCAGCCTTGGACCCGTCATCCCAGCAGCGGCGCGGTCGATTGAACACAGTGAAGGTCGAGCCCTCTCTATCGGGCCCCCGTCTGCGAAATTCATGATGTGGACTGAAACTTGAAGCAGGTCTCCGGAATTCGCCATCTTGGACTGCTCGATGGAGCGGAAAGTGGTAGTCAAAACCCTCTTGAGGTGGTTGTTGACTGCAAAATCGAGCCGCTCCCAGGTTTTCCTCGCCCGTGCGCTCGCGGCCAACGGCCCTGCGTGGAGGTTTGTCGAAAACATCACTCCATCGTAAGTCGTGGTCCCCCGATGTGTCATCAGAAACAATACCGGTCAACGGTGGTGGTGGCGATCGTCGGCGGGGCACCCCGCAATAACCTCGACCCCCACGACCTCCGCGTATCCCTCCGCGAGAGCCCCGGTCAGCCCCTTCGCGGTTCGTACGTACCTCGTTCATCATGGTATTCATTGTCTGGCGTAATTCGTCGATCCCGGTAGAGAAATCCGTGCATCGATCATCCAGCCGTTGAAGTCGATCATCCATCCTCTGGAATAGATCTGCAATGGTGGTCACAATGTTTTTTCTCGTCGGCAGCATCGTCCGATCGTAGCTGACTGCTGATACCAACTGATGTAGGGGAAAGCGTAAACGAACAGGAAGATATAAGGAGATACTCTCTCCAGAACACGGGATACTCTCCCAAAAGAAAAACACGATCAATTATTTTCATTCATCAAAAATTCATCCCCCATAACAAATCACAACTGCCCTTTAAATAAAGTTCTAACCCTAAACT